CTGGCCCCCAGTCAGGCCCCCACGGCCTTGCTCTTGCTGCCACAGCATGCCACCTCCACATTCTCTTCCTCTGTCCCTTTCTCCCTCCCTTGTCCCTTCTCCCTTCCACCTCCCCAGCCCCTGCCCCCGCGGAGAAGGAGGCTCACCATGGGGCAGAACACTAGGCTGCTGATAGGGACCACTGTCTCTCTGCGGCTGCGGCTGGGGGTATCGCGGCCTCTGGCTGGCCGGGAGCTGAGGAGGCTGCCTGTGGGGAGATCCTGAGGGGGGGCCTTTCATTTCCACATAGCTGCTCTCCCGGGGGCCTCCTAGCAGGCTGGGCAGGTCCCGGATGGTGGCGTAGGGGTTCTCACTGCTCAGGGAAGCCATACTGGCCCCCAGCCCGTCTTCAGAGATGGGTCCTGAGGATGGGGGAAAGCATTCAGGCTCAGGGGAGGCACTGGCACCCCAGTGCAGCTCCCTCTCGCGCACCCACCCCACCCCGCCCCTGTGCTCATACCTTTGCCGTAGAATGGGCCTGGGCCATTACTGTTGCCGTAGCTACAGCTGTAGCTTCGGTCCAAGCGGCTGCTACCTGGGGAGGAGGAGGAGGAGGCCACGCGCCATAAGACTCCTGGGCTCAGCCTCCTCTAACCCTGGCGCCCAGAACCCCCTTCTGCAGACGGAGCCGGACGCCGGGCTGCACACACCCACCCGCACCGGAGGCCTGGCCTCTAGGCTCCTACCCCTGTCCAGGTGCTTCCAGTCCGCAGGCAGCGTGGTGTGGTTGTCAGGCCCATGGGCCCCACCTGGCCGCTCAGGGCCCTGGAGGCTGGCAAAGAGCTGATTGCCTGGAGCCTGATGGGGGAGGAGCGAGGATGGAGCTTTCCAGAGAAGCAGGTGTTCACCATCTCTCCCTGGCGCGCCCTCCCCAGCACTGACCTTGTTAGGGGGTGGAGGGTTAGGTGAGCACTGGGATAGGGTGTGGTAGCTGGGGTTTGAGTAGTAGTGACTGTAGCTCAGAGGGATATCTGCAAGAACAGACACAGGTGCAGGTGACCCCCAGTCAGAGACAGGCCTGGGCCCAGGAATGCTATTCTGACCCCGGAATCAGTCATCACCCCCTCTGTCTACCCTTCCTCCCTCCCACTCCTCACTTCCCATCTTCCAGGTCCAGGGAGAGACCCAGGAGCCCTGTGCCTCTGAGCTAGCCACTGGGATGTGTCCCCCGCCCCCGGCACGCTCACCTGGCATGACGTACTCAGAGCCATCCAGTCGCCCGCTGCTGTACGCCACTGCCAGGTGTTGGTGCTGCTTGCCTTTTTGCCAACGGCGGTAGCCGATGAACAATGCCACCAGGGCCACCACCAGGGACCCCAGCACTGCGATGCCAATCACGGCCCCCAGTGAGTTATAGGGCACTGGAAAGGTAGGCATCATGGTGAAGGGCTCCTGGCTTCCTAGTGGGTAGGGCAGTCATTCAGAACAGCGTCTTGGCTCTGCTGGTGAGCTTGGGGGACATGCATGGGAGAGACTCCTGGGTGAGGGGCCGAGATCATGGCAGAGACCCGGGCAGGTGCCCATGTCCTCGTTCCCTGGGGATATGAAAGGCCTAGAGGAGAACTCACCAATCCTGCAGGGGGCACCACTGTGCCCTGGAGGACACACACAGGCCCCGGTCTCTGGGTGGCACTTCTCTCCAAAACCACATTGGCATGGTTGGGAGCAATTAGCACCAAACATCCCTGGAGAACAGCCTGGGAGAGAGCCAAGGAGGTAGGCGGGGATCAGAGGTTGCCAGGACACAGGGCTAGGGCTGACTTGGGCGCAAGGGCATGGAGCTCGGCTTCTGTTGGTACCTTCCAAGCAGAGGTGTCCGGTCCAGCCTGGGGGGCAAAAACAGCTTCCATCCTGGGGGTGGCAGGTCCCGCCATGGTGACACTGGCAGAGCTGGGCGCAGCTGTCTCCCCAGCGTCCTGGAGGGCATGCTGCGGAGACAAGGTGGGCCTGCCTGGTGTGCCAGCCCAGCTCTCCTCCGCCCTCACCGGATGAATCCTGGGCCCCCACAGCACTGGAATCTTCCCTGCAGCGCTGGTCTCTCTCTCCAGGGACACCACGGCTTTGAACGGCATCTACACTCGGACGACTCACAAACGCGGACCGGCAGACCCATGTGCCCAGCTGCCTACTCAACGCCTGCACTTGGCTGTCCAATGGCCATTCCCAACAGCGTGGCAGGGCCAGGCGGCCAGAGCCGTCCAAACTACCCTGCACTGTGTAGCTCTACACTTAAAACAGTGTTTTTTAAGACGTGACAGAAGTAAATGTTCACGCTATTTAAGGAATAATTTTTGTGTGTCTGCTGCTAGCAAATAATCCGATAGGAGTTACTCCTGAATTCTAGGGCAAAACTCCTCACCAGGGTGACTTCTCTACCCGGCCTGACAGTGAGCGTCCATCCAGCCTGATTCATAGTAATAGCCTCCCTCTCCTCTCCATTCTCAGAATCTGTTTCACTTGGTTGTTCTGCATTCATCTTTTCCATGATGTTCTTCATATATTTATGTGAGAAAGAAGCCATAAGTAAATTAATTAATTGATAAGAAACTGAGCTTGTGGCCCGGCCGGTGTAGCTCAACGGTTGAGCATTGACCCAGGAATCAAGAGGCTGTTTGGTTCGATCCCGGTCAGGGCACATGCCCGGGATGCAGGCTCGATCCCCGGTGGGGGGTGGGTGCAGGAGGCAGCTGATCGATGATCTCTCTCTCATCGATGTTTCTAACTCTCTATCTCTCTCCCTTCCTCTCTGTAAAAAATCAATAAAATATATTTACAAACAAAATAAATAAATAAAGGGCCAGAAGGTTGAGAACCACTGCTCTAAAAGATCAATAAAAACATATATATGTATATTTTTTAAAAAGAGCTTATGGCTTCCCTCACCCCCTTCCCTGTACTGCCCTTCCTGGGTCTCCCATGGAGAAGGACAGGGAGTTGTTCCTCCTGACTGTTTCTTGCTGCACCCGCAGCCCCCAGCAGGGAGGTGGGGCTCAGCACGTTTTTGTGTGTGTTGTTTATGTAACTAACCGAATTGAGGCAGGTCCAGAGGCTTTTATACCCAGCAGCAGGAGAACAGAAGCCCTGGTTCTCAGCCCACCCTCCGGCACACACATGCTCTCCGACACACAAGCCACCACGTACGTTGAGAACAGTCTGAGCCAGTCCAGCCAGCCAGGCAGTAGCAGGTTCCATTGGAGGGATGGCAGGAGGAGTGGTTAGCACACTTGCAGGGCACACAGCGTTTGCCATAGCGGCCAGGCTGGCAGGCTGGGGGAAAAGGGCTCCTGGTGACTGGGGGCAAACAGACCTCGATGCCACTATCTCCTCCCTCCTGCCCACTGGCCCAAAGATTGGAATCAGTGGAAGAAAACAAGACGGGCAGAGTAGAAGGTTCTGACACTACACTGCGCCACACGCTGACAGGTGGGAGGAAGGGAGGGGAGCCTCACGTCTCTGGCAGGAGGGACCCCGGAATCCAGGCACACACACACAGTTGCCATTCTCGGGGAGGCAGGTGCCCCCATTCTTGCAGGTGCAGGTGCTGCTACAGTTGGCTCCCCAGAAGCCCTCAGGGCAGGGGAGGTGGCAGCGGGTACCTGTGGGAGAGAGGAATAGGGTGAGTCTGGCCTGCCCCACCCCTCCCATAAGGGATCTTCTGGACACTTTTCCTGGGGTATATACCCCCAACTCCACAGGGGGCCTGGGGCCTGAATGCTCACCTGTCCAGCCAGCCTGGCACTGGCAGTGTCCGTGAACAGGGTCACAGCCCTCAGAGTGGTCACAGTCACAGCGATGGGCACAGCCTTCACCAAACTTCCCCTTCTTGGAGAGGGAGTGGAGGGAAGGGCAGACAGTCAGCTGAGGGATGCCATGCCCTCCCTCCCCCCAGGCAGGCAGGTGGTTGGGCACTTACTGGACAGGGGAGCTGGCAGTGGACCCCGTGCCACCCAGGGGTGCAGGTACAGGCTCCAGTCTGGGGGCTGCAGGCTGCCTCATGGGCACACTGGCAGCTGGCATTGCAACCGAATCCCCAGGTTCCAGGTGGGCAGGGCACAGAGCAGTTACCACGCTGCCAACCTAGAAGGGAGGTGGGCAGGTGGGCAGGGGGCCCCAGCTCCCCTCCCAGGTTGTGCCAGGCTCCGTGCTATGAGTTGGGGGTGAAGTGGGGGTGCTCATGGTCCCTTACAAGAGACAAGCATAGCCCCGGCCGGCTTGGCTCAGTGGGTAGAGCGTCAGCCTGCAGATTGAAGGGTCCCAGGTTCGATTCTGGCCAAGGACACAGGCCTGGGTTGCGGGCTTGATCCCCAATGGGGGGAGTGCAGGAGGCAGCCAATCAATGATTCTCTCTCATCACTGATGCTTCTATCTCTTTCTCCTTCTCCCTTCCTCTCTGAAATCAATAAAGAAGTATACATATATTTTTAAAAAGAGACAAGCATAGCCGAAACCGGTTTGGCTCAGTGGATAGAGCGTCGGCCTGCGGACTGAAAGGTCCCAGGTTCGATTCCGGTCAAGGGCATGTACCTGGGTTGCGGGCACATCCCCAGTGGGAGATGTGCAGGAGGCAGCTGATCGATGTCTCTCTCTCATCGATGTTTCTAACTCTCTATCTCTCTCCCTTCCTCTCTGTAAAAAATCAATAAAATATATTAAAAAAAAAAAGAGACAAGCATATAAACTGTTAGATGTGGAACAAAAGGCTAAATGACCACCAGCCACGCACCACCCCATTCTGGGTCTTGGATGCCTTTTCTGCAACATGAAGGGGGTTGGCAGCAAACCCAATGCTTACAGAGGCCCCAACAGGTAACTAAACGAATTATCCCGACCATGTGCAAGACAATAGGGAAGAGTGGGAACTGGAGACTGGAGGTTTGTTAAACATACTAGTAATAGAGAGCTAGCCAGACAAAACACGCCTGTGTCAGAACCCAGGCTGCAGACTGCCACCCTGCACCCCTGGGAGATCCGGGGGGCCCTGGTTATGTATCACTGAGGGTGAACGCGGTTCACCAAAGAGGGGCCTCCTGGACTGCGCCTTTAAGGAGGAGGGGGATTCCTGCAGCTGAAGAAAAAGCAAAGTGGAAATTCCAGGAAGGAAGAAGCCTGGCTGCTTTCCCACGGTCCAGCTGCTGCCCAGCAGCTCCGCCCTGACCCTGCCGCCTCCCTTCTCTCCGGGGCCCCGCCCCCAAACCGCCGCTCCCGGACGCACCCCATTACCTTCCTTGCAGATGCAGGCGCCGTCGATAGGGGAGCAGGCGATGGCATTCTCGCAGGAGCAGCGAGAGGAGCAGTTGAGTCCGTAAGTGTCGGGCGGACAGAGGCT